GATTTTGATTGGTAGGTAATTGTTATTTCCTTTGATCTCCTAACCAAAAGCCCGACTCTGTTTAATTTTTTGTATGATTTCCTATAAGCAGCATTCAACAAATAGGTTTATATTCCAACCAAAAATTAATGTTCATAACTGCCACTCCCTCTCAAACACGTGCAAGATATTTTATTTCTTGTAATTTTGTAGTTACAAACAGTTATATTTTGGCCTGTATGATATTAAAATACACACGTGTAAGTTCTAATCAATAAGATATATATTTTTATCATTTTTTTCACAAAAGAGACATTCTTGTTAAGCAGTTAATATCTTCTTATTTTTACATATTCAGTTATTAAACGTCTTTTATTTTTATTTTGTTTTGGGGGTTTCTTAAATAGAAGAAAAGCTGCATATTTCGTTTATAGAACTAAACTTGATTTATTTCTTTTATAAAAGTCATTTTTGTAATGGCATTGTTTTTAATTACATTTGTTTCCACGCTGAACCTAGAATAAAAACTTGAGTTAAAAAATACTAAGCCTGGTTAATAGTTCTGAAACACGAGATTTGTTACCGTGTACGAGATACAGAATTTGTCATTCAATCATATGATCTTTGATATTTGCCACCATTCAATTTGCAGTAATAATCCTATTCGACAACCAAACCTCTCTTAAAGAGGCGTATCAAAAGAAATCTCATACTTATTATTCTGATACACGATTTCAGACTATTTGAATTTTATTTATATACCATTGGCTTTTGTAAATGTAATGGCCCTCGCCATTTTCTTTCCTTATAAACTCGAAATCAAAGGTTACATTATATAGTGAAAGACGGATAATGCTGGGTCTATCTTCTCGCTCGTTTCTGAATTACCATGAAACGTAAACGACTTTCTCTAACAGACGTATAGAAAAGATCAAAGGGACCGCTGCGCGAGACCAATGTTCACGTGCATACCTAATATGATCGAAATAACTCTATTGGAAACGTTGCCATATAAAGAACGAGTTGATCGAGAAACAGGCGCATTGTCGAGTCCGTATTATCGACTTTTTTAATGATTTATTTTCAACTGGGATGATTTAAAAGAGATATTTTTTTATCAGAGCTTTTTAGATTATACATATACAAACTAACTTCTGATTAAATGAACATATCGCCAATAAAAAAACTAAGAAGAAAGAGAAGTGAGATTGCGGAAGCATTAAACGATTTCCTGAGTTTGACCCTACCAGTGATTCATGATCTAAAATTTCGTAATAGCATTTTGTTCCAGACGGAACTGATTTCTGGGAAAGGAAAACAACAATGATTAGGCCATAGTTCTAAAATCAAAATATGACCCATTAAGAAGTTAATAAGTTAAGAAACATGTTTCGGTTGCACTTGATTAGGAATATTCCCAGATTTTCTTTTTGTTTTATTACATTTGTTGTGATAACAAGAAAGGCCATTGACTGTTTTTAATCATCGACTTAGTTTTCGTATTTACTCCCTCCCCCCACCTTTAATTTAATGTTCGTTATTTATATAAAGATTCACGATTTCAAACCATGTCCTTCCCAAATAGCAGATGTCACTGTTGATATTCATAAGAAGCCCACTTGAATAAATTTTGTCGCATCACTGTCAGTCACAAGACCTTTAGATGTTAACGTATATGTGTTATTTATGTTTGTTTAGTTTAATAAACAAAACTTTATACCGTTATAATCCAAAATTGGTAATTGATGAATTTAAGGAAGAGTCCCTCTACTCTCTTGACAGAAAGCATTATTTTGGGATTAATCTCGCTTTCCAGTACTTAACAACATGTTTAAGTCTATAGAATATGGTGATAAAATTATGAGCGGCGGGGGGGGGGGGGGTAATCATGCAAGCGCTATTAGTCTCCAAAGCTGTTCCAAGGGGAGATAATCACCGTCTCAAAGCTGTTCAGTTTCGAATTTGGGTTGGTTTGATGAGTTTCCATAAAAAAAATCTGTATCGATGACCAAATGCACACATTCATTTACAAAAAAATACACAATTATGAAATGTGATAGTACAATGAATGTTGTGCTACATTTGATTCTGTAATTTATATTGATGTGAATTTAAAGAAAAATCACCATAATAAGTTACTGTAAATTAAGTTCTCTCTGTGATCTTTTAAAAGGAAAACTAATGTTAATTGTTACTCAAATATAAATGATAAATATATATAGACATTCATATATAATCCTATTCAAAGTTAGTATCCATTCATGGAGCAAATGCAAACATAGTTTTTTAAATGTCATGTGATATTCATCTGACCAATCAATGAGGAATAATCACTCTCGGCGGGTTTACTATCATACAATTTATTATGATTTTATTTTAAAGTAAAGAAACTTAGTAGAAAAAAAAGCGTCATAAGGGGATTACACCTTTAAATGTGTAACACTTCGATAGTTATCTATTCATTTCATATCGCACCTGTCGGCAAACCTTTGAAGTCGGAGCAGGTTACATACGGGGGTTGCCATGTGAATAATTGTTATCCGAGGCTGAAAATTCTAAATTATCAGTTTTTAAACATTGGTAGTCCTCTTCGACCAAGTGTAATGATAAGGCTGCAATGGCTGTATTTACCTCAAAAGAAGGATATTTTCTATGCACTTGCATAATAAATGAATATGTTTATGTTACAATGAGCTAATCCTTTTGTTAACATGATCTGAATGTACTTAAGGACTTGATATCAGCTTCAAATGCTAATTATTAATTCATTACCTGATGTTTTCCTATTTAAGGTTTCTACTTTTGGTTTCTAACATCATGATTCAAAGGCCCCAGGCATTAGCACACCAATTGTCAGCTCTTGTAAATAGTTTCGATTAGACGAATTGCTTATTCAACGCATTGTAAACAAAATAATAATTCCAAACCCCAAAGGTATAAGCTTTAAATGTTAACTGTTTTGTGGTTGAGATTGTCCATATTCAGTTGAATCGTGAACATTCGAAATCATTCCACTTATGAACATTTCTTCGCTCAGCCCTGAAAGTATGGTAATGTATGAACATTTCTGTATCTATGCAGTAGAAGGGGAAATCACCTAGCTATTGTCAAACCCAAATTCAGGCTTTGTCGGCAATAATCCTTCTGACCCCCGACATGTCTTGAACCAGGCACAGATTTTTCGGGGGGGGGGGGAGTTTTTTTATTGATATGTTTAATTCATGACCGGCACAAGTTCAAAATTTCAGGTATTAGTTCATTTTGCCAGGTACTATATTTCACGAACTCTTATTTGTCGGCGTGGTTTCCTTTGTCAGTGGTGCAAGACGGAGGGTCTGACCACATTGGCGTGCATGTAAAAGATCCTGTGGCAGTTTGAATTCGATATAAGAGTGTGGACCGTAGCGCAGTCTTGATTAGCCCAGTCGGAGCAGAACAGTAGGACGTTAACCCCCAGTACATTTGAAGAACTCTACATTCTTCAGGTTTAAGTCTAGTATAGAAAGATATCATATAATTCTGAAAATATTGGTAAATCATTAGATCCTAAAAAGCTTATTCACCTCGATGCCTGACACTTTATATTCTTAGCCATGATGTTAATATGAATAGAGTGTAATTTTGAAAGACCACTATCCGTTATTGACGGTTGCAAGTTCAAATTTGGCTTTCACAAACTAGTGTATAAAAGAAATTGGATGACCATAAAAGAATACCCCAATTTCGACCACTTTCTGTTTCTTTAATTGGGTTTATTAATACGTCACCGAAAATACGGTATTTGAAAATATTTTCCTGGTGTGTTTTAAGGCCAGTTAAACATTATTATACAGGAGAACAAAAGATATTTTTAGCCATGTAAACATCAAAACTCTGATTTTCCTCTGATTTTAAAATTCAAAGAAAAGTGATCGATGAAAAGCGAAATTCGAATATTGTATTATAATAGATATGCTCTTTGAATTGTTTATATCATGCTTTTGTTTCTGTACACAGGGGACAATATGCTTTTCTTAAGCGAAATAATATTTTTTAGAAGTTGTCTTTCAGTAAATATGTGTGTATTATTAGAAACGTTATATTTTATTTTCTATTGTTAAAACTGCTATAGACAAGAGAAAAAAAAAGTGAAAACAACAAATGTTTATATATGTTCATTATCATATTATTAATTCATTCTTGAGGGTTTAAACCAGTGCAATAATGTTTTCATCCTTAGCGGATTGGTCTGCAACATGTCATTTCAATTTAAATCTTAATTAAAGTTATATTATTTCGTTTCAAACTGAAAACAATCAAGGCAAATACAAATCATTACTACCAAGATATTAAGAGAGTTTAATTTCGGGTTATGGTAATTCATCAATCATATACATATTGTTTGGTATTAAATACAAGACATTTAAAATCGATAACATATATCGCCCATTATTTTATGCCCGAGAACGGTGTTGCAGAAATTCAACAAGGTATGAAATTCATAATTCCATGTGTGGCGACAGCTTGGCCATTTTCATTCACAAGTTTTAAGTGCAAAGTTTCAATGCCTTTATGTTTCCCTGTATTGGCGAAAAGAACAAGTTGTATTTTTTTCCCTCTTCTTTTCTCGTTGACTTTTCAAAAGCAGTAAATTTGTAGAACATTACTGAATTCGTGTTGAACCAGAGTAACCTTTTAGCGAAAACAATGAACCAAGGAAAGTCTTACAAAAATTCCTCAAATTTTTATGGTAGTTAAAAATGATTGGCTAGCTGTCTATCTTAAATCATGAATATTAATGAGGTTTCCCAGTTATTGCTTGAAGTCGCCTACTTTTTTCTCTCTATAAGTACCATTGAAAGCTTTTTGTAACTCTATTATGTCTTACTCCAGCAAAACGAGTGATTGAAGGCTTTTACCTGGTCTTATTTTAGTTATTTAACATTCATATGTGAATGACTATCGAAAGCTTATCAAATTGCCGTTGTCAGTTTATGTCGAAGACCATTATAGATCACCCATTCGCCTTTTTGATTGGTGTGGCCAGTCACGTGGTTTTGACTAGGGTAATTGAGAACGCGGCTTGAAATGTGTAGTATTCATCATAGTAGGTAGCTTGTGTGCTTTCTGTTAGGGCAAACAAGCGTGTTTACCCTTATGGATTATAATACACAGTATCCAGGTTAGGGATTACATACACAGCAAGGATGTCAGCGGCTCCAACAGCGGAGAACACGATGTTACGACATGCTTCCGACAGGACCGCTTGACTCGTTGAAAATCGTGTATTAATCGAGGAACTATAAAAGACACCACTCTAGTAAACCTATGACTATAAAGTGTTATATTACTGTGTTTATGTGTGTTTTTAATGCCATTAATAGAAGACACGAAGGGAAGGGAAGACAAATCGTAAGTGATAACCTCTCTTTTAGACTTTAGTTTTATATCGCAAAACACGACACTGCAAGCTGAAAGAATGCATCAAGGATCTCAACTATTTTCTGAGATCGTGTTAAGATTATGATGAAGCGTTGCTTCTGTGCATGGCTGCGTCTGACAGACTGATTTTGTGTCGGTCAAACTCAGAGTATTAATTCATAGGAACATAAACAGACTTCTTAGGTGCAAGTATGCAGACTCACGATTCACGCCGTCAAATACAATACTTCAGCTCTCACTTTGAATCAATTCATGTTTTCTCTGTACATTACTTAAAATTTCGTTTGATCTTCATATACATTTAGCTTCTTACAAAGTTTGAAAACTTAAATAAATCGAACATGTTCATTTCTAAGATCATTATTGCAATTAACAACAATTTACTACACCTTAATGAGAACATAATTGTAGTATTATTCCCTTTACATAGTGTGTAATAATTTCACCTTAATTTATGGCTTTTACCTGTTATGGAAGAATAGACAAATTGCTAATGTTATAATATTATGGTTAAATATACATAATTCATTATTTCTGTATTTATGAGTTTATTAATAAAACCCACAATGATGCTATAACATGATATCCGAACTTTCAGTAATATTATGTATTAATGTTTTGATAAGTTGTTATTTTTTTAAAATTATTTAATTGGAATTAATAATGCAAAGATAAAATATTAAATACAGACCAGTTAAATAATTTGCACATATTTAATATTAATTTTTAAAAATTAGACCTAAAATTCAGTTTTGTAAAATATATATATGTCCAATTGTGTTTAATTCTTCACTCCTTGGGAATTATTATAAAAATATATGACTGTTATTGTAGATATAATGCTTTGCTCATTTATGTAAAACAATATTCAACCATAATAAAAAAAATAATAAAATATTATAAATTTAATTACCAATTTATAAGATACAATAAATTTTAGACAATAACTAATTGCACATTTAAATATGATGAGTAATTAATTACAATAATTATAAATTTATATCATGTTTAAAGAAGTAGCCAACAAAAACCAACTAATGACCTTGTTATACAATAACTTTGTAAACATGTGTACAACGTCATAAACATTGAGGTATATTCATAAAAAATGTTTGTGAAGTACGTCAAATTGTAAAACCTAAAATATTATTTATTATCTGTTGTTTCAAAGAGAAAGGGAGTCTGGTATTTTGCATAATGCTTACATAGTTCGTGTGAATATGAATTCTAATGAGACGTGTGTCAAATGTTGTAAAATATATGTTGTGTTTTACGGATGTTTTCAATAATTTAAGTGACACGTGTATATTAAGTTAAGCTGTTTTTTATTATCTATATAGCATAATAATTAGACATCTAATATACTCTTATATGTAGATCTTATATATTTTATATAGATTTTATATCTATATAACATAATAATAAGACGTCTTAGTTAATAAGTTGACATACTAACAACAAATTGAAATTGTAAACACAAACACACATACCCTACACATTTGCATACTTCACATTGCATTAAAACCAATTATTTAAAACAAAATATTTAATACAAAAACAATGAAAGAGAATAACAAATTTAGCTTAAAACTTAGTTACTGCTTTTTGTGTTTGGGAATTATTTGAATTGCGTAATTGGAATTACAAATATATATATATATATATATATATTTTACATATATAAAGTTTTCTTCTTTTTTTTTCAAGATTGTATTAAGGAATTTATGTTTTAAAGGATTAATTATAACTTTAAGTAACTATTTTTAGAATGATTTATTAATTCTTCCCATCTTAATGAAATAAAACCAGTGACCTATATTTTATAAGCCAATGTTTACATCTCTTTTTTATTGGCTAAACCATTCGATATGACTTATCGACAAAGCAACACGAGCTGCTGATTTAGTTCAAACTATGATCCATATTTTGTTGCATCATACTCCTTATTAAATACTATTATTTTAAATCGATTTGAAATATAAGATTCTTTAATTTCAAATCGTGTTGTCGCCATTCTATAAATTCGTGTAATGATGAAAAAAATCGTCATCTTATCTATTGTTTGGGTCATAAATTATGTAGTTTTGTTGACAAGAGGTCTAGATGGTAGAAACGATGTCTAACTCGCTTACATTGAAAAGGTGACTCCCGTCTGACTCCCCTGACAGCAAATCTGAAGGTCCATATGGGTAACCGACGTTATAGGCACGACTTCATAAAACTAAGATTGCGATCAAAGCTATGAAGCGTTTTTATTGATTTGTGAAATCATTCGAACACAAATTCCCTCTTCAAATAAGCCGACTGGCAAATTTTTCTCCATGAATCTAAATCACAGCCCTATTGTCTCTCCTAGAACGGATTCGATCAACGGAGAATAAGTCGGTCTGACAGCTAGATCGTGTACGTTACTATCTGCTATGTGAATTGTATCGGAGGCACTAATGTCTACTCAATTAGCATGCCTAATACAATAATATTTTATCGTGGAGTATCAGAATAATTTATCATATTTCTGACAGTTATTCCAATGAATTTTGAAAGGGTTCTGGTATTATATTTTGTGTGGTTTTAGCACGTTGCTATTTCTTTGTCTTTATGTAGGCATTTTTAGCATTTCATTTATTTACAAATATAACCGTGCACACATTTTGTCATTGGTGAACATCGTGAAATAATGAAAGTAATCATCCTTTTCTCTCAAACCATAAGAATTGATAGTCCGTAAATGTAAGGCCTTGAAGGCATATTATCGTAAATGTGTAGCTATTACTCAAAATTGTTGTTCAAATATTTCCCGTGAAAGAAATTAAGCTAAGGGGATTAATATTCTGACCCTATCCCATTAGAAAAATTCTGAATTCATTGTTAGTCTTTAAACATGAAGGTTATCTTTTAAGGCACATGGATTAGTATTTCTTAGAAATATAACTTTAGTCTATAATAGACCATGCAGAAATTAAAAGAAAATATGTTTTTGATATCCATATCAATGAATGCAATGATGGGTATGATCACGATATGATCAAAGTTAATGTTACACCGTGCAGTATGGTTCATATTAGTTCTGCTAGAAAGCCTCTTACGTTTTTTAACGATTCAAATTGCCTTCCATTCTTTTATTTTCTTGAAAGATTTCAACGCGAATTTAAAGTGTGAAAATATAAAGAGCAAAGGTGCATTTTTTGAAAGGGAACTATCTTTACATGTTTAAGTGAGATAATGTGGAGGAATGGCAAGATGAGATACTAACAAGCTCAAATAAAAAAGAGGAAATTTCGCCAAGTTGGGCAAGTTGTTTCAAAACCTTCTTCCAAAGTTGAAAGAAGTCCATAAACAATAACGGGCCCAACTTCAAAGAAATCTTTTAAAAGATTGCTTTAAGATATGATGCCGTTAGTTTTATTTATAATCGCATAATCTGCCATCTAAATGGATTTTATTAATATCTTGAACTTTTTTCTCGTTTTCTCTTTGAAATTTTATTGATGATTTTTACCCTCTCTCTCTCGTTTCAGGTGGCATGATCAAGTATGGAAACGGCCAATAATATACTGGCTCATCCCAGCCTGTCGTTCTATCCAGGCCTACCGACTAGTGCATCCTCTCCAACTGCTCAAGACACAGTCACACGGTCAGCTCTCTCTTCGGCACAGCCAAGCTGGGGAAGCTACACCAACGAAGCATCACTGATGGCCCACAATTCGTGTGCCATGTCTTCCTACAGTAACCTCCCCTTAGGGGCCTCATTTCCAGTGAATGGCAAGTCAGCCTATAACTCGGCCTTTCCAGGGGCTGGGGACTATTTTAATAACTGTCGCCAAATGCAGATCTCACAATTAGGGACCTTAAACAGTATGCCAATGAGGAACTATCCGGGTTTATATGGCGATATGTATAATGCCAGTCATACACCTTCTTACACAAATGGTGGTTTTTATACCGATGTGGGCCCCGGGTTAGCTCCCTTACCAGGCAGAGATATGAACTGTTCCAGTAGTCAGTCAGACAGCTCAGTACCAGGTAAGCCATTTAATTATTCTTTAAAAGTAATTCACAACGAAGTAACATAATCCCCCGCCCCGACACACACACAGGGTAGTAAATTAAACACTTGTTATATTTATAAAATGGAGAAAGAGACAAAGAAATATAATATAAATATGCATGATAATTCATTGATATTTTCCATTAACCATAATATCAAAATGGAAAAAAATACCCCATGGATAATACAGGATAGGAAAAAAAATATTACAAATTAATATATATAGCTGAATAATAATGCTCTTTATAAACATGCGTAGCTAGAGTTATATTCACTTAATATCCAATGACACTTTTCGTTGACATTGATGAACAATCAGATAATAAAAATACCCATAAAATAGCACGGACTATATAAATACAAAGTATTCGAGTTAATGGATAAAATTTGCGTAACATAGTAATGGCGTACATGTTTAGTATAGTGTAGAAACAATAATTAAGTAATTGAACCTAGGGAAAATGCAATACGTAAGTAATTATTTCTTATACCAAATTATGTGATGGGTACTTTAAAGATATATGTAAATTGGTGTTAGAAATTAATTTCTTACATCACATCCAATAGGGAATTCCTTTTATATTTGCCGCTGATCACTTCCGGCCATTTATTTATGTTAGGACATGATCTTAATGAGCTGAAGTTCAGGGAGTACTTTCATATCAGGTATAAATTGCATTGGATTGAGAGTATATTAAATGTATTGTTCGTTCTTTTATTACATTGTGGTATTAGAATGTCGTTCTAGAAAGGTTTAGATAATTTCCTGTTAAAATCACGTTGCAATTTTCATACCGACACTTTTGATTTGTGAGACTTTGATAGCAAATGCGGAAACCTATCGCGGTATTTGGGCTTCTGCCACACTACCGTTTCTTGAAGTGACGGATGTCGTGTATTAGAAGGATATGCCAACACCTTCTAGAACGCCTGATTCATTTTCGCATGTGATCATACACATGTAGTCAATAAATGTGTGTTGTAATTTTGTATTTTAGAAGATATAACGTTCATACTTTAATTAAAAATTTATATAGTGTGACAGTGCAATCTCGATGAATCTCTTAGCCTTGAAGTAGGCAATAATAATGGAAGACTGGTGAATACCTTGTTACGATCGCAAGAAAGTAGCTCATTCATGGTTGTATTGGGATCTGTGAAACGACCTGTTCGTGTCTAGACATGTATTTTATGCTCTCGCACAATCCATGGCACTTGATCACGTTTTGAACTGGTTGATAATGGTTTATGGTAGAAACGTATCCCAAATGTAAGTCCTTCAGCATGTCATAGTGCTCAGTATCATCTTTAAGGAGAGAGTTTAAAGTCCATCCGATACTAGTTGATTTCGAGACTAACAGCATATGGTACAAATTTATTTCAATAATTCGCTTGCACGTAGGGGTATTTAGCAGTGAGAGGAAACCTCAGGACCCGGAAGAAACCCACGGGGTTAGGCAGGCTACACCAATCTTGAGAGAGAGCGATAGAGAGAGAGAGATATGGGGTTTAACGTCCACTTGACACAAACTAGGTCATTTCGGGACTAACACATGGTTCCATTTTATTTCAATAATTCGCTTGCGCGTATTGGCCTTTAGTAGTGGGAGGAAACCAGAGGCCCCGGAGAAAACCCACGAGGTTGAACAGGTGACCCTACTCCTTGTCACATACAACCAGAGAATCGAAATCACGCCAGTTGACCCAATGACAGACCTTATGATACAGCGCGCACGTGCTACCGACCCCCCCCCCCCTCCCCAATCTTAAGACAAAATCTAGTAACACAACTAATAGCCACAGGCCTCCATCTTGTTTTATGACAACGTGGATTGATTCGATTTAAATAGGACTCTAACAGATCAATTGAAGTCTCATTATGAAAATTAATTCCGTGGTTCCAATTACGTGATGCACGGTCATAATGGGATTCCAGCTAGGTCATTGATTTATGTTCCGAAATTTGTCCAAATGATCTCGAGGAAAAACTAACGTGTCGTCTCTTAACTTGGGTTAATTATTGTCACTGACAGGCGCCGATCAGCAGTAGCAAATTGTTTCCCGAAGTCGTAAACAGTCTTGGCAATTGGACTGGAAGGTTTAGTTAGTAGTGGAGACTTCGGTGCAAAATCATCAAACTCTAGAATGTGAATATTCCAGCAAGGGAAAGCATATGCTAAAGAGAGTGGGAATTGTGTTTATGATCGGTTTGGACAATACTACGTCTACGAACAAAGACTTACGATCGTTTTAAGGTGATTGACAATAGAACTTATTAACAGACCCTGTCTTGACTTCCTTCACATAATCGTATCACATAATGCACTTGAATCTAATTGTCGACAGTAGCAAAAACATAATACTCTTATTTCGTTTCAATTCCTCGACTGATTAGGTTGGATATTCTGTCATAATTCTTAATTTTCTAAATATCCATTGAAGGATTGAAAGAAATCCACAATACCCATTTACAAAAGAAAAGCCATACAAATTGCTGTTTTTTTGAGTTCTTAGCTACAAAGAACACGTGAGTAATAGACAACAGCATTAGTAGCAATTTGAAGATGTTGTTGAGTTCTTAGCTACAAAGAACACGTGAGTAATAGCCAAAGCATTAGTTGCAATTTGAAGATGTTTTGTTTTATTTTATTTCATTAAAAAACAACTAAAAAAACTAGCACCGCAAATTACATCCTCTGATAAATCTAAAGTAGTATCGTTTTGCAGTAGAGTAAGCATATTCTACCTCGTACACGGTACTAGAAAATACTAACTAACCATAGTTATGTATGATAACACCTCAAGTCGCAACCTCAAATGAATTAAAAGTGGTATCGTTGTCCAGTAGAGTGAGCATATCCTACCTCATACACAATACCAGTAAATGTCACGTAATCATGCATTTGATATAAATATTGTGATGACAACACAAAAAGCTACTGCCTCTAATAAACCAAAAGTAGTGTCGTTTTTCAGTCGAATAAGCATATCCTGCTTCGTACACAATAACGGTAAATATCAAAAAATCGTGCAACATGACATATATTTTGATAAGATGGTAATATAGACATTGTAGTGTATGATTTATTATATTACAATATATCTTTATGGTTGTTTTATAACCGTACTTGATGATAAATCATTCAGTAAAATCAAAACACCTACAGTAGTAAATGTGACGTACAAGAGCTGGGATAAATGGTTTCAGTGTCGTTTAGTAATAGAGAAGGTTGTGCAGTTGATACAATATTTGGAATACATTTGCTGTATTTCTTCATAAATTCAACACATTCTAGTCGACACGTTGCTCAGTAATAAACAGTAGTTGTATTCCATAGAATTGTGTTCTCTGTAAGAGTTGGAATAAGCTTATCTGAAAAACATAACACAATGATAAGGACGTGTATCATTCTTGCAGGGTTGTGGTCGAATAAGGATGCTATCGAACAAGAGAGCCTTAGAAATGCTCAACCTAATTAAATTACTTCAAAATACATTTTTAATCCAGATGTGTGCTTTCAATTAGTGCTGAGATGAATGTTATATGATTAAATGTTTGTTGTGAAAGATTAAGCAGACATCTACTTGTTTACTAATTTGGGTTTCATTTGGCTGACTGTAGAACTCAAAATTGGTTATAACTCAGCACTGGCATGTATTTCATTCAAGACAGACAGATTAACAGATTTCGACAAAATATTTTACTCAAATCAAAGAGGTTTAGCCACTTTAGGTTTACGTTATTGCTGTTTTGGAATAAATTGACACACTGTGTCATGAGAGGTATACCTATACATGTTGGGTGATCAATCTCTGTGGGTATCACATCACATGCAATGCTGACTTCATTGTGGTTATATATTGCAGTTAAACGGTTATTTTATTAAATCGTTCAACGCATTTCTGCATAATAACCATCAGTGAATACTTGATGGTCTAACCACAAATTGAGTGTAATTTGAATATATTGACTGTTAAAATTTAGAGTTGGTTCACGTGCATATCTTCTTAAAGCTTTGTACATCTGGCATGTCATGGAAACACACCGATTGAAAGTATCCATTAATTTAAGTAGCCCTTCTCTCGGATAAAATTAGCTCTGGATATCCAGTTAGAATAATATATATATGTTGTGTCCAGAAGATACCTAGGGAGAAGTTACTATATAGAAAAACTATTAACTGTGCTGAAAATGAGATAATTTTCATAAATTAATTAGTTTATGTCAGTCTCAAAGGGTACGAAAAGTCTACATAGATATGGCGATTAATTGTGTCCACGTGGCCGGTCATAAAACACTACCCAAAATTGGTCTGAATTGCCAACAAACACATTATTCAAAACTACCAAATTTACATAAACACCAGACGAAAACAATTTGGTGACATTTTGAATTATAATTTTTCATAAATTTCCCGCCTATTAATTCCCCCTTTTGTCTTTGCTCCAAATAGTATCATAATTGTTTTTCAATTGGTATTTATAATCCATTTTATTGCCAGTTTAGAATGGGTGTCAAAAAACACATTTAAGTAATAAGTAATTACTTTCTAATTGGTGAGTTATTTCCCCTTTGTGAAATCTCAATCGAGTCCGTACTTTTTTTAATGGGTAATTTTTCGTCAAAAAAAGTCTCCCGCTGACCGTTTTAAGTGGCTCGAACTAATCGGATAAAAGCGAGTACTTGTGGTCTATCATCCTATTGAAGTTAAAAAAGGACATTAAATCCATTATCTTAAATCAAAGTTCAACTCTATTTTTGCAATAATCATTAACATAAATTGACTGCATCGTCCATCATCGATGGAATTTAATGTCTGGTGCCATTTAAAGGTAATTTCGTCTCGACGGTAACATTTACTATCATTACTACACACAGTAATAACATATTGTGACTGCTCCTCGCGTTGGGGTCGCCGATCTAATATATATACAACAAAGGGAGGTTTTAAAAGGCCACTTGGTTGTATTTTGA